CGACTTCCTTTTGAATTATCTGACGCTCCGCAGGAGAAATGCGGTATGGCCGTCAATGTACCGGAGATGCATCGCCGGTGTTAATGCGGTGCTTCACAATGCTGGTTTGACCTAGGAGACGGTCACAGAAGTTGAATACGTCCAAGTACGATTCCAGGACGTGACAGAGCACGTCAGTTTGATGCGGGAAAAGGTCCACCGCGATTATTTTTTCCACGTTAGAAGATGGACTCTCTGTCGAAAAACAGATTTGCGTGCACTTGGGGCGACGCACATCATTGGTGCACAAAGCTGAGATGACGCAATCCTCAGAGGGTGTCAGCGTGGCGAGGGCTATTCCACACGGAAGCACTTGCGGACACAGAGCAAAGTTCAGCAAAAGGATTCAAGCACGGTTTTCCCATAACGGAATAATAGTGTGCGGAAAAGTAACACTGTGAGTCAGAAGGACAAATGTAATGGGCGTGAGCACGTAGTCTCCATCAGGTACAGGTGGCGACGCTGTTAGGGCAATGCACGTAACTGTTTGTGGTGACAAACGGACATGTTCAGCAGAGCAGAGACGAACTTGGGGCGGACTGGGCGTATCAGTCGTACAGGGCAGGTCAAGTTGCACCGTGCTAGCTGAACAGTCAATGAGGGCTGATTGGGCGGACAAAAAGTCTGGACCCAAGATAACATCATTGGTGCAGTTGGTGAAAACAGTGAAGAGCACGGAGGTTTGATGGCCGGCTTAAGTAACGCGTGCTGTGCAGGCACCAACGACGGCAGCTGCACTGCCGTAAGCAACACGAACACAGTGTGAAGGGGCTGGAGTCAATACTTTCTTGAAGCGGTAACGAATGTGCGAGCTCAGAACAGATATTTGGGCGCCAGTGTCGACTAAAGCTTCAACAGATAAACCATCCACTTTTACATCAGTCAAGTTCTGGTTGGTCGGGAGGGTCAACAGAGGAATTGTAGGACAAATTGTAGCAGCAGCGTCACCTCCAGGAGCTGCACCACTTAGTTTCCCGAAGCGAACCGTGGGGCGAAAGCCGGGAATGGGGAACGGGGTGGCGGAGGATATTGCGAGAATCTACGTCGTGGTGAAGGCGAGCGGCTTTACTGGGCATTGGTCGTGGCGGTCATGTCATAATGAGCCGAGTCATCACGCCGGGGCGGTTCTTGGCCAGAAGAGCGGGCTGATGCGTCGAAGTATGTGAAGTTTGGGCTTGTGCGCGAGGGCGAGGTCCATGTGCTTCGGCAATGATGCGAAATGTGTCCCACTTGTTTGCACCGGAAGCAAATTGGCCTGTCGTCAGGCGTCCTCTATGTGTTTGGCTCTCAGTTACATGAAGCAGGACGCCGGTAGTGCTGAGGGACGTTCAAGGTAGGCAAATGGACATTGAGTCGGTGCACAGAACAGATTGTGTGAAGCCCCGCGTTTGCCAATTCTTAGCGCACAACGCTCTGTACGAGGGATGTGGTGGGCTGAGGATTATTCAGCGTCAGGATCCTCAAGTAGTGCTGGTAACATCGCTTCGATTTCGCGTCGAATGACCCTTGTAATGTCAGCAGAGGGTGGATTGGGCTTGGTCTCAAAATGGAGGTCCTCGCAAGTTGACGTTGCAGGGGTGTTAGGAAGACGGGTGAAGTGGTGGGCAATGCGACGGCTTTTAGCCTCTTGAAAGCGTCGGCACTCCTTAATGACGTCTTGAACTGTTGAACAGCCTTTAAATACAAGGAGGCTAAAGGCATCATTAGTGATGCCCTTGAGTACGTGCGCAACCTTGTCGGCTTCGGTCATGGTGGTATCAGCCTTAAGGCAGAGGTCAAGACGTCTTGAATATAGGCCAGGTAAGACTCCGTGGATGTCTGGACACGGTTACCAAGTTCATTCTTAGCGGCCTGCTTGCACCCGACAGATTGGCCGAACAACTCGCGCAACTTCGTCTTACAGGCGTCCCAGCTGGTGAGCTCTTCTACGTTGTTGTTGAACCACGCCTTGACCGTACCTTTCGAATAAGACAAGATTTGCCAGCATCACGGTTGGGTCCCACCTGTGGTTTTCACTTACAAGCTCGTAGAGTTGAAGCCACACATCGACGTCTTTGCCGTCAGTGCCTGAAAAGTTGCCAGGATTGCGGGGTGGAGTGGTCACAATGACCACAGGTGAGGTGGGTGCCGTTGATGCGTGAGGCATGGCTGTTGGCGCAGCATCCCTGTCGGTAGACATGTTAGAAGCGGCAACTTGGCGTCCGCTGCAAAGCTTCGTCGTGCTTTGCTACCCAGCACCTTCCACCAAAATGTTACGGGAGGGCACACAGAGGAATGAGGTGACAGTTGAGATATATTTGCACGACGCCAAGCCTAAACCGAGATGGCAAGCGAGAGCGCGCCCCACGTCCCAGAATCAGCGTCGTCTTTCTCGCTGTCTCTGTTGCTTCTTCAGCGTGATGTAGTCCTTGTAACAATATGCATGCAAGTGTGTTTGTTTTCACAGATGGCGTTGGTCGCGTCTGCCATGAGAAAAAAGAAAAACGAAATCGGGCTCTCATCTAAAATGTATCATGTCATATTGTAGTGTGGAGCTGAGATGTGCCTTCTCAGCATGAAGAAAAACTCTGCAGCCGGCGCCAGCAGATTGCACCTGGGTGATGTGTGAACCTTACACTTAACCAGTGCAGCTCTAAGATTGCACACAAAGGTTGGCAGCTACGGATTCACAGCATAGGAGACTACTAGAGGCCATGAATGAAACAAACCCCTGAAGGGCTGTGAATGCCCGAGGATGACGCAAAGAGCCCCGCCGTGGTGGTCTAGTGGCTAAGGTACTCGGCTGCTGACCCGCAGGTCGCGGGTTCAAATCCTGGCTGCGGCGGCTGCATTTCCGATGGAGGTGGAAATGTTGTAGGCCCGTGTGCTCAGATTTGGGTGCACGTTAAAGAACCCCAGGTGGTCGAAAATTCCGGAGCCCTCCACTACGGCGTCTCTCATAATCATATGGTGGTTTTGGGGCGTTAAACCCCACATATCAATCAATGAGGCTGACGCAAGACATCGACGCCGTCAGAGCTTGAAGCTAAGGGGCTGTCATGTTCGTATTTGAAACTCATCTCCTTGTCACTCAGTTCAGGTGCAGTTGCGTGATAGTTTCTTGCGGTACATGTTTATGGCAGTGCAGGTGTTTGCCCATGTCTGCATGGTAACAACGCTATGAGATCAACTAGTGACACCGAATGCGGCCCTCCGTCAGATTTAACCAAAAATGTGTGAATCAAAACGACTCGAAACTGGCTGAAAAGTCCACCCCCACGCATTATAGATGTGGCGGACCTTCACAAAGGAGTTTGGCTGACATAAATCTTCCCAGAGTCTGAACAACAGCTCTCTAGGAATGGCTGGCATAAATTTCAGGCAATTGTTACTGCTCAACACTGCCAAATTACAAAGCTGGCACTATAACGTTATATTTGACATCTGAGGTTTCACTTGACTATGTTACTGAAGCATGACCACGAGGAGCACAAATTTCTCTCCAGTGCGTCTGCCACATCCACTTTCCCAAAAGCGCGCACATGTGTGTTTGCGCAAAGGTCTGTTAAAAATCACTAGTTGCCAAAGCGGAAATATTCAAGCTGATTATGAAAGTGTAGTGGCCAAACGAACTGCTAGGAGAAGCTGGGTGCCCACTAAACATCTCTAACATGCTAAATCAGTGATCAAAATAATCAGTCACTGGTCCTTCCTTGAATAGACCTGGTAATGAAAGAGGTAAAACTACGTTCAATATTTGCTGCTTTGTTGGATTTCCAACTTGATGTCCTGGTGCAGTGGTATGATTTACTGTGGCTAAGTACTAAAATAATGTAGATTGAAATGTATGACATTGCAATGCAGAGCCTGCAACTAATGTATGTTATGAATTTTTTTAATACCGTAGATTACAATGCATGACATTGAACAGCAACACATGCTAGATTAGCATTAACAGAATGTGTTTTGCCCATGCTTCTTACATTTGCTGATTGTGATTTAGGTAGGCTTGTGTGAATATTCGAGGGCTTAAAATATTCTAACGAACATGACTGTATTCAAATTCGCTTCGATTCTAATTGAAATTGTTAAACATTTCAAAGTATTCGAAATGACGAATAGCTGCACCCAGATAGCTGCAGAAAGCCAAAGCGCCTCCTGAACCGAAAAAAGTGCGAGTTTGCCAGATGCCAAAGCTTGCAAATCGTGTGTCTTTCTCGAGATGCCCAAACTCGGGATGTCCTCAGCGAACAAAATTTCGGTGCAGCAACTTCGTATGTATCACATCTGTGCAAATAGTTTCACTACGAATAAGAGTGCCTTTCCCAAGCAAATGTAAAATTTTGTTATTGGCCAGTTTTACTTGTTTTACTCCAGCGTTATTGCCAATTATTATACATGTTTTAATATGAACATCATGAATGCAAGGACATAAGCACTACCTTATATTAATTTAATATAGAAACATAGCTGTTTAATGTGAAAAGTATTTTCAGAGTATCCAGCATTCAATTTAGTTATTTCTAATGAACTTCTGATATCATTTGATTCTTTAAAATTCAGTCTCGAGAATCACTGCATCTCCTAAACACTTGTATAGTTAGTGAAGGTAGCAAACCTATTTGCATAAGTGGTAAAATGGCATGCAGCAGATGCATGCCTCGTCAGGTTGTTGCTCCTGTTTTGCTGACAAGGACTCGCACTCTTTGCTGCACTGCATGAAATTGGTAATGCGGAGCATAGGGAAGCAATTATACGGAACAAGATGGAACATACAAAAAAATACGGAGCATCAGCTAGTTGTGCGAATCGTTGAGACCAGTGCTTGTCCTACTTTCATGCACTGCCGATGCCAGACATTCCATTCCGGCTCAAAAAAACTAAAGATTTGAGAGTCCTTGCACATGTGGAACAGCTTTCAGTTGAAGAATCAGTGCCTCGATGTTATGAGTTCCTCCTGACTGATTTCGTTCACTCAACAGTGGGACAGAGTGTCTCACTGCGTGATCCCTTTCCCACAGAGATGAGCCTCTGGTCCGAGGAAGAGTGCCGGAGCTTTGAGAGCGGCCTCCGGTTGTATGGCAAGGACTTCCACCTCATCCAACTTCACAAGGTCAGGACTGCTTGCCTGTCCTGTGGTTGTTTTCATTTGTGGGTACGCTGTGTGCTATTAGAAGAAGCGGGCCTATACCATACCACGGAATATGGAATACTATTTCATTGGCTTCATGCAGTCACAATTGGTGCTACCAGTGCTGCCCGTGTGGGGGCCGTGATGTATTTCGAAACTGCCTGTCAGGGAAGAACAGTGTTCTGTATTCTGTGGTATGGTATAGGTCTGAAGCTCTGAGCAAAAAATGGAAATTAATTGAGGGACTGGCTATTTGTCAGAGACGACCACATGAAGCCTAGCAGAGCATAAGGGGGCATTATTGTGTAGTTTTTACTTTAAGTATGGCAAATAAGAGATAAAAAGAAAGGGAAAACAAGCGGACAAAAAAAAAATAACAAGGAAACTTACATTAGCCGTGTATAGCTTTGAAAACGGTGAAGCTGGTTGTTCAAAGGGAATGGGCAAACTTAGCATAGTCTGCTTTTTTTCCACGTCTGCCTTGCGCTCTCGTGGAGCATAGGCCTGTATTCGCAAACCAACCTTCTATTGGCCTACTGTGTACATCAAGTGCAAGTAAAGACTTACACTTGTTAAGAAAACTCAAGGTAAGTCTGGGGATGGTTTGTAAATACAGGCCATAGTCTTGGTCCTCTCATTGTTGCTGCTTCATAGCCGTTTCATGAGCTACACAGGCGAAATCTAATCGCCGTTAACAGTTATGCTCTTGATTCGCATCATGCTGAGACACCCTCTGAGGTGCATCTTCGGTCATGGTACGTCATGGTTGTTTCTGTTGCAAGCAAGGTGTTTGGGGCAAGACATCTGAGCATTGTGATTTGCAATTTCAACAGGGAATGTGCGGCCAGCAGCGGTGATTTTTTTCAACATGTTGAAGTAACGGTGATTCTACATTCCTGGAATGTTTGTGTTGCGGCTTCAGTTGCATAAATTCTCAGTGAATTCAAAAATAATTTTAAATAAGCAAAAACCGCCACACTGATGCCCGACCAAGCAGTACCAACCGTGCGTGACTATGGCATGGTAAAAATCAGAAGTTGTACAAGATCCTACCTGTGTGGAAGCCATGCTGATGAAAGCCGCAAAGAGCAGACATTCAGCGGGAAGATGACCCCTCTGCACCAGCTACACCTAGTCTGTGACTGACAGTGCCATGTGCACAAACTACTTGAAGCTGTCGGCCAGTGGCGGCTGCGGTTTGGACTCATTCGGAGGCCCGCCAGAACCTCCATTCCTCTTCGATCAAGTAAAATGCACTCACTCTGTTCGCTTTCCTGGTTGTGCAATCCACCGCCACATGGGACCACCACATGATTGCCTGTACAAGTCTCTCGAGTATGTGGCTACCACGATGGGATAAAGTAACTCTTAAGAGGTTCGCTTGCAGGCTAAAATTACTTCATATTGTTATGGGAGGAATGCATAAGTGTTGGGCTTGTAGCGTGTAGTGTCACCTTGATAGGATTGATGAAATTTAATGCAAGCCAGCTACTAGTTACCTTTCGCGTGAGGATAGACCGAATGCACATCATGGAAAAACTTTCCATTCGATAAAGCTCGAGCGTGCGCTCTCTTCAGCTAGTACGGTACGACTGTACATGTGGTAACCCAGCATTGCTAACTGAAACACTAATATCGAGACCAAGGATAAGTGTTTAGTGAATATAGAACGAATTGCATGCAGCCCACAATGTGACATCTTTTGCTACCTGCCCCCCCCCCCCCCCCACGGGGAACTGAAGTTCGCATGCCAAACCACTGACCGAACGCACATACGATCATTGTCTTTTGGACAGCAGGTGCCATAGAGGCACCTCAGTTTTGTCACTTCTGACGCGTTATCATAAATGACATTGTGCACACTACAGTCGCTGACCGATTTTTCGGACCTGGCGGGGACCGAAAAAATGTTTGCAAAAATTGAACAGTCCGAAAAATTCGTTTTTGTAAGAAATGTGAACTTTATTGCATCAGGCAAGCTTTAAAAAGTCCATGATTCTGCCTTGCCTCATACTACGCTTAAAAGCAATTTGGTTCGCCCATATTAGCGCCAAGGTGACATCGTCACTGTAAATTCTCTACAAAAGTGTCACCGCGGTGGCTATCTCTGCTGCCGACAGCTGCGGGTGATCGTCGTCATCATCCGAACCGCTCTCCGGCTGCGGCACAACCTGGCGAAAAATTTCTTCAGTCTGTGGGCTCCACGCTACGGAATTGTCATTGTCCGCACGAGCGAAGTTTTGGGTAGCTTATAGAATAACATTTGCAGGCGCTCTGGGCGTTGCGGGTATAGTGGACGCATTATGAGTTCTAGAATAGCGTTTGCTCCCCCTAGGGAAAGGTCTAGGGACATTTGCCCCGACCGCAATCTCAAATGCATGGAAGCTACACACAACACTTCGCGGGCCGCGATCGCCGCAAGCAATTTCGGATTTTCTGCGGGCAGGCCGCAAACGGTGACTCGCATTACGACGCATGTGCAGTGGCAGCAACCGCACCGCAAGGGCTCGTGGTGCGCTATTCTAAAACTCCCTACTGTCATTGTGGCAGGCACATTCACTCCACTACTGCACAGCTCCTGCCTCCCTCGCTGTATAGTGCGACGACGACAGTGCTGACTACTACGGCTAACCGAAGACGAGAAAATGGTCCTGTGCCGCGTTTTCTATAGCAGACACGGCCTCCGAAACTTGAAATGTAACGTTTGCTTTCCAGACTCAGAGGCAGGAAAACCATTTTAAAATTAAGCCACCAAGCTTAGTCAAGCCGGCAGAAAATCTAACATGGCGGCGTCCATACAGCTTCGCGACACTGCTCAAAACAAGCTGATTTAGTACCGAAAAATCCAACTTTAGGGGGTGCAATTCGTCTGAAAAATCTGTCGAAAAAATGCATTGGCCTTATGGGAACCCCGGGTGGTGCACTTTTGAAGTCCGAACTTTTGGAAGTCTGGTTGGCGACTCTATAGTGGTCAATAATTGTGGGAAGCCAGGTCGGCAGTTCAGGGTAATTATGAATTTCATTTGTATACAATATGCTTATCTCTCAAGCCCGTAATTTGGCATAAGTGGTGGAAACGAGTGATGAAGCGTACACAGTGAATTTTATTGCGATTCAATGACCTAAAAAAATTGATGGAGTTCGCCTTTGAGCAGTGCGATAGATTAATATGCAGAAGACAGATGTGATGCCCAGTAGTATGGCAAGGGAACAGAAATTCCCGATAGGCAACCAGCCTCTACAATATGCGCAAGGGTATGCATATCTGTGTCAATTGCTAATAGTAGAGCATGCGTTCATTTAAGATCAAGGGTGGGCATGAAATGTTGCAAGATTGGATCTGTCAGACAGGTCGTGACAGGTACGATAATAACCTACGGTTTACCGTCAGGTCCGCACACGGTCAGTCGGTGAGCTCGTGCACTTCTACTACCTGTGGAAGAAGACGGAGCGGCACGACATCTTCGCCAGTAAAGTGCGCCTCGAAAAGAAGAAGTATGCCCTGCATCCAGGAACCACGTGAGTATCCTGTAGGCACTGTTGTTGCCTTTTTATGGAGATAGAAATTATATGGACACTCCCGGCTGGTTTCTGTGGGTTCGGTAGGGTTCGCGTAATAAACCCGTTTTTTTTTTTTCTCCACAAAGGTTGACATTAATTTGGGGGGAGGGTTCGTTATGTGGGAGAAAAAAAAAAACACGGGAGGCTGCTACAGCAAAAACTTTGCATGATGATACAGTCGAATCTCATTAATTCGAACACGCTTAATTCAAACTTCCGGTTAATTTGAACTCACGATGAGGTCCCGTCAAAGCTATGTGTATTCCATATGGGCGAAAACGCCCGGTAATTCGAACGCACTAGCACTTGCGGCGGTTCAATTCGAACGTATCACGCTCCGAAAATGCTCTCAGCACCCCACCCAATGCCACGGTGGCACCTGCGACACCTCAACGCTGCGCGCGAAGGGAATAAAAAGGAAAGAAAAGGCTGCGGTAGAATGTTTGCTCTCTCAAATGCCGCTCTGCGACAGCCCGTGTCACGCTCCTCCCTTTTCCCTTTCCCTGCCACATAAAGACCCCGCTCCTTCCAACACCACGCGCGAAGAGAGGGAGGAAGAAAAAAAAGAAAGCTATTGCTGGTTTGAAAGAATGTGTGGTTGAAGAAAAGGAAAAAGGCACTATCTTTTGCAGCCCTTGCCCCTTGCGGGAGCACAGCTCTGCGCTTTGAGGGGGGGGGTCTCTCACGTGCCGGTGCCACGCTCCCCCTTTTCCATCCCTGTCACGTAACCCTTCTCCTTTTAACGACGCACGCGAAGAGAGCAAAAAAAAAAAAAAAAAGCTGCCGTGGAGTGTTGGTTTTTTCTCAAATGCAGATTTGCTTCTCTCTGCGTGGAGACGCTCCTCCTTTCTCGTCACGTGCTGGCCATGGTGCGGCACAGTCGTTGTTGTCATCGTCTTCAGAAAGTGTCGGCGCTGGACATTTTCGCGCGCAATTTCTCTTGCCAGGAGAAGGGTGAAGCCGAAGTAGAAATGCTTTGCAAGCTGCGTGCAGAATTGATTGACTCGCTGCAAGGCAAACGTGTGCAGACTCGCATCACCGATTACTTCAATTAATGATGGTTGTCCTGTGTTGTGAATAAATGTAAGTCTTCTGAAACTTTCCCCTTGTCTGTTACATCAATGCACATGTGCCACAGCATGGAGAGCCCTCCGTTTATGTAGCTTTCATTAATTCGAACTTCTTTTAATTCGAACAAATTTTCGGGCTCCCTTCGAGTTCGAACCATCGAGATTCGACTGTATTAAGATACTCGCTGTCCAACCACTGCTGGCCTTCAATTCAGTGGCAGGGGTACTGTTCTAGAACTTCGCTCTTCACAGAAGGAAACTGGCCTTGTTTGGCCCGCAAAATGCACGGACAAATCTTTTTTTGTAGCCCGAAGCCTTTCTCGTTTTCTCCCGTAACGAATGCGCACGGATCAACGCAGAAGTGTCGTCCAGCCGCTCAGCTCCCATGCTCTAGCGCGTGCTCGACCAGCCTTTAGGTTTAAAATGGCCGTGTAGTTAGCGTACCGGCCGATCGTTCTCTGCGCAGCAGGTGTCCTACAAAGTTCACTACGGCAAACCCGACAACAAAAACTCATTGTCGAATGGCCGTGCACGCACGTTCACATTGCTCGGTTGACCTGGTGGGCGTGGTTGTGCTTTTTTTTTTTTGCTTTGTTTTCGTGCTGCTTTGCTTGCATGGTGCTATAAGCAGAGAGGTTTCTTCTGCCTTCAACAAATGGCAATCTGCCGCCAAAAAGATGCGACTTAAATTTCCGTCATTGTCGTCCATGCTTGCGCTGCTTGCAAGCTGTCTAGCATGGTTCTTAAACTATGTTTTGACTTTTATCGCTGGTCCTTATTTTGTGATATAATGGTGTAATTTAAACTTTCGATCCTCAACGGCACTGGCTATCACAGCAAAGTAAAATGAACAAATATAATAAAAAGTACTTTTTTTTAGTGATAAAAACAGGGGCTGGGTTAATTGCGCCAGTAAATATGGTATGTAAATATATATAAAATCCACCGAGAAAAATAATTTAGAGACATGTTTTCTGAAGCACTTGCCCAGAATTTTGAACTTCCCTCTTCTCACCTTATAGCAGGTGACATTAAACGACTCGACTACGAAGCCTACGCCCTACAGCATACTAGCAGCGAGTTATCTATATACACCATTGCCGGCGAAACGCAGAGCTCAAAGGTGCTTCAGCGTGTCATTTTTATTTTATAACCAGTGAAATGGTGTGAAGGGCACATAAAAGTCACTACCGGATCATTAAGATGCACACGTTCCTCCTACCTCAGCCAACTCTACTTTGCCATACAGGCATGGTCACCTGTGCGTGCATGCTTATCTTGTGATGGGGGCAGTTTGTAGGTTTTGTGCTTTCACCACTAAGTTTGCATTGAATTTACAGAGCGCCTAAAGTTCACACTCGCTGCTGCGACCGCATTTTGGAAAAGAGTGCACTGCTGAAGCTCCAAGAAATGACACCTGTGACAGCTGTTAGCACTCCCCTGTGTATGCTTCGGCATTCGTTTTGCACGTCATTCTTTGTGTTTGAACAACGCGCTTTACCTGTCGAGCTGGGACATTTGTTTGTGCTCGTCCCCATATGTTCTCTTCGTGCCTCCTTGAAACTTGAGCAGTGTGCTGCAAGTTTCGAGCTGGTTGCCATTCCTTACGCGACGTTCCGAATTGTTGCTATAGCATTCATTGCTTTGCCCTTGTGGCAAAGTTTTTTCTAATTTTGTAAACTGCGAATGCTAGGAGGCCTTGCAATCGCAGTCACATTCTTTGTTTTTGTTTTAAGAGGAACTTTCAAAGTGTCAGTGGCCGTTACACACTTGAGTTTCAAGCAGCATGAAAAGCCTAGTTTTAAATTGTGCATACATTTATTTAATTATTTATTTATTTATTTATTTTGAATACCCTTAGGGCCAATGGCATTGCAGAGGGGGTGGAGGCAAAAATACAAAAATTTGAAAGTAGTTCAGAAAAAGGTCAAAATATAAAAAAGAACAAAAAAATGCAGAAAAAGAACCCACAACGATTCCCAAGTACATTTCGAAAACATTACAAGTAGTTACACATATTATAGCAGCACCAAAAAAACAACAATATACAAGATACGTTAAGTATAAACGAAAGTCAAAATTTGGTGTATAATGAAGATAGTAGACGAAGAAAGTGCTTAACAGCGCAAGCGACAGGAGGGAATAAAAGAAACGAGAACGGGACTATCCCCTCCTGTTGTTTGCGCTGTTAAGCACTTTCTTCGTCTACCATGCAGCACCAACCAGCCCAATCAAGCACCTTGTCTAACGAAGATAGACGCATGATATAAGTGTAAATAGCAGTGCCTAGTTAAAAGAAAAAGAAAACTTAGAGAAAGATATCACGTACAGCTACTTTAAATTGGGTAGTATCCTTGATGGTGACAACATCTGGAGGAAGGCAGTTCCACTCATCACTTGTGTGTGGCACAAATGAGTGAAAGAAAGAGGAGGACCTACAAGACGGAATGCCGACTTTGTGTAGGTGATCAATGCGATATGATATGTAATGCGAAAGGGAAAAAAGGCAACCACCTGTTTGTAGCACGAAACCACAAGGAAACTTATGTAATGCGGTGCCGAAAGGAGTTGGTGTCGTAAAAAGGGGTGGTGATATATCCTATGAAAGAGAGAGAGGCACACGATTTTACGTCGTAAAGCTAGAGGTAGTAATTCTAGATTAGCTTTAATTAAACTCATGCTAGCGGTTTGTTATAGTTTGGTGAAATGAATCGTGTGGAATTGTTCTGAATTTTTTCTACTAAATCAATTAATTTATGCTGACTGGGGTCCCATACAGAAGCTGCATATTCTAGTTTAGGCCGGTAAGTGTTTTGTAAAGAATTAGTTTGAGTGATTGTGGTGCACGTGAAAAATTTCATCGGAGATAGCCGAGTGATTTGTTAGCTTTGCTTTTTAGGTATGCAATGTGCGTGTTCCAGCTAAGGTCAGATGAAATGTGGACACCAAGATATTTGTAGAATGAAACACAATCTAGAGGGGTGTTAGAGCGATATGATAGGCTGGTGAAGGGTTAGTGCACCTGGTAATGTGCATTGTTTTGCATTTGGTTATGTTTAGTTTCACCTGCCATGTGTTACACCATGCGCTGGTAGCGTTAAGGTTAGATTGAAGAATGGTTGCATCATTGTGAGGAGTTATTTCTCTAAATATTTGCCAGCGTTGCCAGCGAAAAGATGAATATTAGGAACATAGGAACCTCTTGGCAACTTCAGGAGCGCTACCAGTACAGTTGTGCTACTGAGGGCTTAGTTGAAGTGGGAACAGCCAGTGAAATTATTCGTTATGAGTGGAATCAGCCATGGTGGTCTAGTGGCTAAGGCACTCAGGTGCGGACCCGCAGGTCGTGGGATCGAATCCCGGCCGCATTTTCGATGGAGGCGAAAATGCTTGAGGCCTGTGTGCCTTTAAATATAGGTGCACATTAAAGTACACCAGGTGGTCTAAATTTCCGTAGCCTTCCACTGCGGCTTCTCTTCATAATTATATGGTGATTTTGGGACGTTAAACCCCAGGAATCATTATTATACTTTTAGTTGTGAGGAAAGTTTTCTCGTATTGTTTCCAGAGTGGCTAAAGGACAAATGAAAATTGTAACTGTAGCGGTGCTCACTGCGGCAGCATGTGACCGCAGTTCCGTGTGCTACGAACGAGTGGTGGAAAATTTATTCCCTTTTATGACCTTTCCTCCACTTAGTGTGGTCCCGCATACCTGCCGCATTTTTTATTCTTTTATTCATTTTCTCCCTTCGCCTATTCTCGTTATTATAATCGCTTCAAGAGTCTCAAAGCAGACTTGTTGGTAGATCATTACAAGCAACCGGTTGAAGCTCAATCTCTACTTGAAAATGAAAGAAGCCTCAAAGAAGGCACAGGAAAGTTGCGCTGCACGTGTGTCTTCCGTGTTTATTTTTTATGTGAACATACCCCAGGCTCAAATGGCCATTGCTGGAGTGGTTCCAGAGATAGTAAAAAGGCAGTCATGAGAGAAATGAATGGTTGCACTGTAGTAATAAATAATTCTACAGTATTCCAATTCACAACACTATCAGGTAAGTCATTTAGATTGCTGAGGGCAACAGTGAATATTTCTCTGTGTGTTGATGCAGCTTGAAGGTTGTGCAAATGCTTTAGTTGTTGGTTACCTATGGTTTGTGATTTTAGCTGTGGTTAGTTATTGAAGAGTGCAGGGAAGGATGAAGTAAGTAGCGTGACTTCAGAATTTTGAAACGTTTATGGTACAGAAAGATAAGCCAACCTAAGTTTTGAAACTATTCTTCGCTGTAAAAGCAGTGATAGGCTTACTTTCACTAATAGTTCTGGATTGTCTAGAGTAAACAGAGTGTGTGAATCTAGCCGCTAGTTTATATATGTGCTCAATTTTACCAATTAGCTGTTCTTGGTAGGTGCTCCATATTAAATCAGCATATTGTGGCTTCTTTTCCTGTTCGGTTCGAGTTTGCCTTGCAATTGGTTGCCTCAACTGATCTCTTGCCTATGAAGAATGTTACTGCATAGAGTTTCCTATAAATACACTGGAATGAATTCCAGTGCTAGTGTCAGTGGGAGCTGCAATGCACGGCACTTCAGCCAGCATGGGAATGATGGGTGGTACAGAAATTTGTCCAATCTTTGCACTTTCGGCTCTGGTTGGCTTCGCTTGGCTTGAAGTTGCTTTTTCATGAAACAACACTCGGCAAATTTTCAGCAGTTGCACTTCACTACTTTAACATTTTAAGCTCGCCATTTCAAATCAGCTCGCAAAGTTTATAACCATTCGTTCTTTCATGAGAAACAAAGCTGAAATAAAACAACAAAAGAAGCCACAAGTGCGTTCGAGGCCCGCAAGTACAAAGACTAGGCAAATTCGTGTACTACCCATCAATCCCATGGTCGCTGAACGATCGCAGCACCAGAGCCTCCTCTTGTTAATTTTAGGAAACTCGATGGTTTAGTGCAATTGCAAAAAAATGCACCCGTTTTGCCGGCTAATAGCTCGAAAAGAACGACGCTACGGATACGTAAAACGAGGTGGCTTTAAAGGTTTCAAACAGACAATGTATGCAGGGACTACATGGATCGCTTCCTGGACGAGCAGGAGAATTCCCAACAGCAGCAGTCACAGCTACAGCCGCGCGATCGGTCCACGAGCCCCAGCGAGGCAAAGCGACCAAGGCTTGCACTGCCCATGCAGCTCACGAGTCAGCTGGTGGGTCCCCAGGAGAACGGTCGGGAGGCGTCCTCTGCCGCGACTTCGCTGACGGCGACCTGCCGACCCAACGCGCGAGAATGGCCGCGACCGGCTCTGGGCGGCACCGGGAAGTTCGTCGGACGAAGATGATCTCCCGCTTATCGCCACCACTGCGAGACCGGCTCTCAGCAAGGTGGCGGTGACGGCAACAGCGACGGCTGTGGCGCCGAGTGGCAATGTTGTACAGGTGAGACGCTGTTTACACCTGTTAGGTCTTGTAACAGTGTTGGGCCTGGTGCAAGGGATATGTCGTTATATTCAATGCTTGTCATTAAAATATGTTGAGAGAAAAGCCTTGCCTGTCCTCATCAATAAAAAAAATTTAGCTTCGGCGTTATATCAACTGAAGTGTACAAAAAGTACGTCACATGAAGGTCGTCAGTAATGTTGCAGATGCTGGAAATTTTGAGACATCATGACGTGATGTCATCTGATGAGGCGTCGTGATGATAATGAGAACTCCTTACCATTGACTTAAAAGATGCGAATCGAAAAACATTTTTTCCAAAATTACATATTTTTATTTTTATTTGCTTTCACAAGTTTAGTTTCTGTACTTCCACAACAAAACAAAACTGAAGATTGTAATTAAACTCAAAGTAGGTTAAAACCGCTTTTAAAGAGCACAAGGTGGCTACTCAAAACTAAAAAGAGTTCATTGTCCAGAGTCCCAATGTGATTGTCACCGGGCTGCTTGCCATTGCATTTTGCATGAGAATTTCACTAAATCCACACGCTCAAAATAACAATGATTGCCAAGCTCTCGTCGTGGAAGAAATAATTTTAAAAAGATATTTTTGCCACATAGATAACTTTGACTTACAGTTTTAAAATGCTTTTTGCTCGTAGATTCCATTTTTGGGCAACTCTTGAGTTTAGACATCACGTTCTTGGTACTTCTGGTAGCTACATGAGAATGAAAGTTTGCTCACACATTCCTTAACATGTCAAAGGTGGAAGTATCTTCTTTAGAACTCCATAACTCCAGTATAATTATTATGAACGTAAAGCAAACAGTTGGTATAGGCTGAAGATTCTAAGAATTCTCATATTAGAATTCTTGTCCATTAAAATGGTTTATGTGCACTTTTTTGATAGTTATTTGCATTCTACTGCTAATGTGGAGCAGTATGAGCCATTAATGGCTCAGAGCTGTAAAGGTTTAGTGGCATAAAAAATGTGTTCTAAAGGAACTATACATTACTTATTGTCATGGCACAAAACGAAAACTGTGCAACTTACTATAGAAGTAAGTGCATATTTGAAATCAGCATAAAAGCCCATATATAGCAAAAAATTTTTTGCCCTAGGCTACAGGTTAATGAAACTGCTTTGGAATTGCATCTCCTTAAGCGATTGTCAATTTCCTCATATCTGATTAATTTTTATATCCGTGTTGGACCACATTTATGTGTTTTAAGTTAAAAACAAGTAAATACAGTGGAGCAGATATAGATAAAAAATCTTTCTTGTATGTAAAAGACCCCCGCCCAACTTTTTCTGAATTGGGAGCATGAAAATATTTGTTCACTTGCAGATTTGCAAGATTGATGCTGTCACGCCTGACTGCGCACCATAAACCGGTTGTTGCAGGTCTTGAACAAGATGGCAGCCGCCAGTCTGGTCAGCTCGGTGTCCACAACACAGCCCGTCATTGGGGCGGCCGAACGACCACACCCAATGGCTCCTGATGAGTGACGTGGCAGCAACAGTCGCTGGTGTTCATGCGCAGAATCTCTGCTCCTTCGCCAGCTCACCCATTCCTCCATCACACGTCGAGAGTTCACAGAGATAAAAAACATCACTGAACTGGGACCAAAAAATAAGCGCTTTCGCAGCGTGAACAGCGTTTCGTGCCGTGAAAAACTGCTCCAGTGCTGTGCGGGTGGAGCATTTCGTGCTGTGCCCTCTGGTGACAAGTGCTACAGTTGCTCTTTACTTAACGTGCAGTCTGCAGGGACATGCGCCCACGTAAGACGGCAAGCGGGGGGGAAGGGAAGGCTTGCGTAATGCGATGTGTGTTTTATAGTGTGGCTCCTGTAGCGCCAGTCTTCGTTGCAGCAGCGTGTAGCATTCTACGCTATCGCGGTGAAACACGTGGACCGCTTTCGTGCTGCTTACTTAGTCTGCTCGGTCGAGGTTGTAAAGGTAAGGTGAAGCTGGTCATGTTTATGTCTTCTAGAACATGACTTTATCAGGTTAAACAAAGGTGACACATAACAGAGTATGATCGTGCTGAGGCACTGTGCTGCCTCCTGATTGAAGTGAACAGTGTACTTTGGTAGTTCTGATCGGGTAATTCGTGCAGGTGCGTTTGTTTGGTAAAATGCAGGTGCGCCTTCAGTGCCGCACGTTATGAAATCTCACTGCGGAATTTGCCTCTGAATGTTTTAAAAGAACACAGGCCGCTTCGGTAAAGGGAGTCGGTGTCACCCTAGAATTGCCGTAGTTGAAGGGATTATTACAAGAAATAATTTCTGAATGGCGAAAGCTTGTGGTATTGGCTTTTCTAAACTGCATATGTAAAGTGGTACAAATGTTGAAATTGGTTCGCATTGCAGGTGGCGTAGTAAGACTGTGTGCTGAACATGACTGCTGGTGTGAATGTACTAATTGGCTTGACAGTCATGACCGCTTCCTTTAACAGTTGTACCTTGCCGTGGGATAACAAAACGTCTGGGTTGAGAAGCAGGCATTTGTTTTCCTAAATTTTTGCTCGGGCATCTGTACTAGGGCCAAGGTACTGAAACATTCTGAACCATCATCTCATGTGCTGAGGGGACGTCTGCCGCTTTGCCGAGATTCGAGGCATGCCCCACGTTACGTTGTTGGACAAAGGTTTTCCGGACGTACTGTCGTCGCGTGAGGCTGTCGACATCAGAGGCAACGCATTGGGTCGTCCAGTCATCGAAGCCAGAGACTTCGTGCGACGAAGCCAACTGTGTCAATGTGTCTATCGCTCGGTTGCCGCAGCAAGCCGAGCTTTTCATCCCACAGTGAGCGCGAGGAACGTCATTTGCCAGAAAGTGCCTTTTGCACACATGCCACCGCTGACCGAGTTAGAGGGCTGTATGTGCGCGTGTGCAGAGTTTAAAACCCGAATTAGGTGTGGTGCAGTGTGGGGGAAATTCACATCATCCGCTATGGGTGTTTTGAAGGGTACGAGACGACCCTTTCCCTTACCGTCGACCTTGTTTCGTTGCTTCATTTTGCTACTTCTAAAATTACCATTGTGTACCATGTTGTAGCATAGATGAAGTACCCAAAGAACAAAACATAAAAAAGCACCACCTTGTTGACATGATTCATTTGTGCATTTTCTTTTTGTTTTAATGTCATGCCCATTTAAGCATTACGTTTTGTTTGTGTAGCAGTGCTCATTCCATCGCACACCTACATTTGCCTTGTTTTTAATTGTAAGCACGTGTTCCGTCTTAGGTGAAAGACGTGAACACTGCAAGTTTTTGTATCATTGCGACTAATGTCAGAAGTGCATTTTTGTCGCGCCGGTGAAGCGAGACCCGGCCGGACCTGCGCACAAGATTTTATTTGCTCCTCGGTGATGTTTTTAAGTCATGAAAGCATCATTTTTTTTATTGTTTTAGAGAGCTGCAGGTGGCAGTCATAATCTTAGTGGCCGTTTCACTTTTATCTGCTGCGCAGGAGAGTGCCAATGTCAGTATTTATGTAGATGCAATTCGTTGCTATTGCATGTATGAAACTGTCGGTCTTGCATTTTGGTCCGGGTGCAAATTACCGAACCGGCATGCAGCTATGGCTGTTTCAGTACACAGTAATGTAACTAATATAAAGATGCAACCAGCCAAGATGATAGGCTGCATATCGCCCATTAAAGCTAACGCTATTCACTCCCGATAATACCTATGGCTGCTTCCGCTTTTTTGTGTTCAGTATGCACCAACATGGAATGGTCAGGGTGCAGAGTTGGTGAAAATCAGTTATGTGAAGGTTGCAGAGAGGAGGGTGGTCTATTTGTTAAACTGGCTATTATTAAACTCTCAAATTTTAGAATTTTAAATTTCGAAGCTTTTTTTTACTAGAACAGATTAACATGAGCGTTTTGGTGAGTTGGTTCATCAGAAAAAAGTTTACAGCATGGAAAAAGGTCTGAACGGATGAAGGGAGGCGACACTAACACAGACTTGCCACTAAGCTGTATTTCGAAAAAGACGCATATAAGTAGCGGAAAAAAATTATAAAATTGCAAAAAGGAGAGATGCAAGCATTGCACGTGAAAGCACACTGGGGCAAAGTATTAGGAATAAAACTTGCAAGAGGGGACGACAAGGTTTTTGAAAAAATATTGATTATCCTATCCTAAAGAAATTAGCATGCATGTGTACCATTGAGTAGAATCCGTGAGCAGATTTCGAATGTCGTAATTAGAAGGAAAATGACAGATTTTGACATTGTATTTAGGAAACTTAAAAATACAAAGAAATAGTTTTCGAAACTATGTTGTTTTTTTCAAAATTTCCACCTTATAGGCTAAAGCCGGTGATGTCGAAACAGCCGGTTATTTTATCAGAAATAATTTTTAAGCTTGGAAGGTATAAATGAACTTCCAGTAGCTGGCATACATCAAATAATTACAATTCCATGGATGTTGAGAAAAAAAAAGCTTTAGCCTGTCGTTGAATTGCTGCTAAAAAGAACTATATGAAGTTTGCTTGAATATGTATAGAAACTTCCTATTTACTTCATCGAAACAACAGAGCGAAGAAAATTTCATTTGAAATTTCGAAAACTTTTGTAAATAATTTTTCTTTAAAAAAAGGAGTATTTCACCATAAAATATCTTTCAAAACATAATTTGGGCTATGAATACTTCACATTTTTTACAAGTTCTCGTATTCGAGATTCTCGTCCCTCCTAAAAGTCCGTGCTTGTCTGTGTTGCCCCCCTTTGTCCATTCCTGTTTTTTCTGCACTGTAAATTTTTCTATGTAGAACGACTGAAAAATAAAGCAATATACCTTTGTCATAGGAAAAACAGCAGAAAGTAGTGTAAGCACTCATAAGAGGGTTATATTCGCCAATCCTGAAGTACCCATAAGCAGCGAATTTGAAAGTTTCGCAAGATAGCTGCTCTAGTACGGAACAATTGGTTAGCTGGTCTGGTACGGAACAGTAATATAGCTGGTCTGGTGCGGAACAGACTATCCCACGTTGGAAGCTTCACTGAAACTGCCTGCGTATTTTGTACAAAGCCACTTCTGCAGCTCTCATGTATGTATGTACAAATGCCCTTTTTTAAAATAGTAACATCACGTTTTTGTTGAAAAAGTTTTGCACCACATAATGTCCTCGTCGCTGCAAGACGCAACTTTTTCTTTTTCACGTTCACAGTATACAGATTTGCACAGTTTCATTTCAATGTTTGTTTTGTTTGTTCTCAATTCCTCGTACTTTCCACGTACAATGTGAGCCCATCAAAAACCTTTTCGTGATCCCATTTGTGCAAATGAACGAAAGGAAAAAGCGAGCACTATTTATTGGTAGCAAATACGCAATACAAATGTGATTTAATAAAGGGAAATGTAATTTTATGACATGTGTGTCTTTGTCTTAAAGCAATTTCACAAGATGGCTGTGACTACTAAACGGTTGCATTTAATGCTTGGCTGTGGCTCCGTTTCGTCCAGTGTCTTTTTGCTGCCATTGATCAAACAAAGCTTGAGAAGCACAATGGCGCATCATCGCAGTGATGCAGTATCAATAAACTGAACCAAAGTGAAAGTCTAGCCCACTTATAAGAATATTGGCTGTTAATGACTATTCATGACAGCGTGAGTCACTTTTCTGGAGTCTATAACAGTACTCTGTGGACAGAATGCTCATTCTGGCCGAGTATGCCGACTTAATAAGCATAAACAGTCTGGACAGAATGCTCATTCTGACCGAGTATGCCGACTTAATAAGCATAAACAGTCTCGGATGAATGAACAGACAGAATGAACAGCAACGAAAGTAAAAACTCATTAGAAGTGATGCTGAGGGACCTGGGAAATGCTCCTGTGACTGAAAATTCTAAAGACACTGGGAAATTGGACTAGATCATGGTCAAACCTGCATTTAGTGAACACGCGTATAACAACTTATTGTGGATATTGGAGATTTATGAAATACCCTTGAATATATTTTCGGTATATAAATATTACGTATATATTCAAATACATATAAATATTTTGTATGATAGAACTTTATGATTACATTTGGATTTGATATATCCGCGTTTGACTGTACATAAGCATTGAAATCCATTTAGAAGGGTAGTTAACAATGCCTTGGGCCTGGCGAGAAAACACCAGGGGGTGCAGCCACAGGCCGGTGCTGTGCTCCTTCGTCTGCTAATGTTACACAGTGAGGCTCATGAACACCTAATTTCTGTTTTAATGCCAGCCAGATGGGTTCAATCGAGTCATCCACAACCATTTCCCCTCCACCTTTTCAACTCTCCCCCCGCTCGCTTTACGTTCTCCCCAGTCTGCTTTGCGTTCACAGAGGAAAGTACCCTTTATGTGGCGCCTCACGATGAAAGTCATACGGGGTAACTTTTTGTCGAGTGGTGTTCAGATCTGTAAGGTGGCGTACGTACGTCTTGCATTCCTCATGATTACCTGTCACACTGGTTATCTAAGCGATGCGTCGTTTTGAGATGGCACATCTCCATGGCGCTGCTGCATGCGCTGGCTTTAAGATTTGCCAATTGGTTCGAGCCACAAAGGAACCAATTTGACAGACGCATGATATTTGAGACGGACAGCGAGTCTATCGCATCTTCCTGGGAACGAGCTCAGATGCACGTGTGATGAAAACAGTCTTACCCTTCAGGTGGCGTTGCATCATGACCACTTCCTCAACCAAGGAGGGTCATTGATTCTCATTGAGGATTGAGCATTTGCGCTGGCATTGAAAAACAATAGAGGAGACATTGATCACAGGAAGCTTAACAAGAGGGTGTTATTGCGTTGCATCACACACGTGCTGAAGGTCATGACGCATAGTGACGTACTTCTTTCTCCTGTGCCATCAAAGAGATCTTACAAACTATTAGTTATAACAAAGTAAGTGAATGGTATTATACTGTGTTACTGATTTACGTTTATGAAGAATTCCCAGATATGACAAAGCTATTCTTGTGATATACATTGCTATATTGATTGTGTGAGCATGTTTTTAGTCGCTGCTGATTGTATTAGCTACCTTCCCAACTTTTAGAGAGAGAGAGCACTTCACTTTGTGAGCCTAATAATGATGCGTGAAAGAGGATTCAAATATGAAGGCGCCCGTACACTCTGTTACGAGAACCACTGCCAGATACACCATATGCATCTAAATGTGCAAATGAGGAATGTGTAAGAGAGGTTATACAGTAGAAATGAAAAACCACTGTTGCAGGCAAACATTGATGGCTTTACGAAAATGGAAACATGGCAATCTTAACAATGAAGTCATGAAGGGTAATATAGTGACAAATAAGGGTGCTTGAATATTCAAAAACATCAGTGGCTGATTTGATGCAGTCTTTGAGTAGAATATTCATTATTCGTAAATATGAATGTTTTTTTAATATACCGTGTTTACTCGATTCTACCGCGCCCTCGATTGTAACGCGCACCCGATTTCCACCGCGGAAAAAAAAAAAAAAAACGTAAGACATCGATTGCAACGCACACCCATTTTTCTCGCTGGCCCGCACGATCACACCACTCGAAAAAACGACTCCTTACAGAGCGTCTTCCATTTAAATATGAGGTACGGGCGAAGCTTGTGCCCATCTGACGTGTAACAGAGCATTGCCGTCACTGTAGTTTTACCGTGGACCGATGTCAGCACGCGAACTTACTTCGCCTCATTCTCGACGGTTAAGGTGCCAGGCATGTCGAAGTAGAGGCGTCTGACCAGCATTCCCGATTTGCCCAAGCAGGTAGCCATTGTTGTGCCGCAAGTTTAGGACGAACCTCTGAAAACTGTGAAGCTTTTCATCGTACTCCACTGCAAAACTTTTCGCATATGCATGTTCCCCTTCGGAGGGAAAAGCCTTTGCTCTTCATAAAGTTAGTTAGCCAGCACCTGCTCGCTTTAAACTGGCTCCGCATTAGACCTTTTTCCAAGACTAATTGCATAGCCCGCACTTGGAGCAGTTCTGTCGTCACAGGCCGCTGTGCCGCTCGCTGCTCAAGCACATACTCGCCGAGCAGTTCTTTATTTGCGGAAACCGACCTTGCTGTGGTCCACTGCAGCCTTTGCGTGAAGCTTTGCTGTCGACAATCTTCTGCTTTTGTTTCCGCCGGTCCCGCACGCACGTTTCGGGAACTCGGAACGACCGCGATGCGGCCCGATTTCCGTCCGTTTCTGCACACGCGATGACTTTTCTTTTAAAAGCGCTTTGTGGTGCACTCGAGTTTTTGGAGTCGGCCCTTCCACGCCGTCGATGCTAATGCACTACTAGATGACGAACTCCTCAGCACACGTACGAAGTGCCGCACATGGGAAACACATAGGCAGAAATGGCCGACGCGCCGTGCCGACCTTTTTCCTTTCTCCGTGGTGCCGACGCACGTAGGGGCGCCCATTTTGGATTTGCCGATGGCAATAGATTGACCGTAATTTTTTTTTGTTCGTACTCGATTCTAACGCGCATGCGACTTACGAACTCGCTTAACCGGAAAAAAGGTGCGCGTTAGATTCGAGTAATTATGGTAGTTTGTGCGTTCAAGTTACACTTCACTGAAATGAATACAGCATTGATGCAAAATTGTAGATTTTATCCCGGTAGACGAAGTGTAGCCACCAGGTATATGCACAATCGGTACAGTAGACTGTGGGGCCCATAAAAAATTGCTTTACTACCATCCAATTTGATCCTGATGCTGAATTTAGTTTTTAATGCTATAGTTATGAATTCTAGGATGTAAATATAATTTTATACTAATTGTGAAAATGACTGGTATATATTCTAAACATGTTCGAATTGTTTCTGGCATGATTCGTACGTTATTCTGTTTTAAAATTCACTGTTTGCACACATCTACGGAGAACAAAAGACTATGTTCCGACCATTGCCCAAGCATCACAAAAGCAAAATTTCTTTCCCCTTTATTGTCTAAAAAAAAAAGAAAACAAAGAACATGACACTTCAAGTGAAAGGCTTGTAGCAGTAGTACAATGATGATGGTGTGATTTACACAATGACGAGATGATTTACATTAGCAACTTGGCTGCTCAGGTTCCTCACAGGATGGCACTCCTCAGGTAATTAACGATGCAGAGTGACTGGCTAAATGCCACTTCAAGCTCTTTCCAAGAATTATGCTGCGTGTCTGCAATCGATACTAGCTCTTCCCTAAATGCGTCTTCTGAAGCCATCACATCAGCATGAACCTGCCAAAGTAGAACAAAAAGAAAGGAAAACAATGAGCTAACGAGGATCGCTCACTGAATCCACATTGCTTTTCATCAACCTGCCACTAATTTCAAATTAACCTCAACAGTTTACAAATCAAATGTGCATGTGCATGAAAGGGACACTAAAGGCAAATATTAATCGATGTTGACTGCTGAAGCAGCGGCCCAGAAACGTTGTAGTGCTACTTTTGTGCCATGGCAGTGCTTGTTTGAAAATAAAATCATGATTTAGTGGTCCACATTGTGTTGACGCACTTTCAATTCACCGCCTGAAAGTGGTCCGTCTCGCGTCACTGTTGCCGTACCTAACGTTGCCAGCTTTTACTGCGCGGTGGTCGACACTAGTACACCAGCAGGGCGAAAGTAGCGGGAGCCACAGCAGCAAAAATGGCCATTGAACAATTTTCTGCTTGCTTGGCTCAACTAAGCCCCGCTAGATGGCACCAACTATCTAGCCTGACCAGGTGAAAATAGGAATTTTCGAACGACTCATGCTATTCCCTATACTAATGCCAAGTGGTTCTTTTTTCTATAAATCAAACAGAATGGACAAGCAGTATTATACTACGTCTCTTGATACACGAAAGGTGCTTTTTTTTTTTTTGTAGGAGCTAGTTCGATTACTAGTGATAAATTGTAGAAAGACACTCGCGTCATAGGGATCATTTCGCAAATGTCCGACTCGTGGCGCACGCCATGTGATACATTAAGCTTAATTTTTCGATGAGGACGCTGCTGTTGATAATTATGTCGTTTCTGACGTCATTCATCAAGCTTTCACTCTGACATAAATTGTTATTAGCCTTTAGCGTCCCCTGAAGTAGCAAAAGTCACTACCATGTGGTTTTGATGATATAATGCACATAATTTTGGCAAATTCAAGAACAATAACATGAAGAATGTTTGCACAATGGTATTTTGTGTAAGAACCAACTTGAAAGAACAAGAAGGTGCATTCGGGAAGCTCGTATAGATGCTCTGCAATGTCTTTAGTGTAGCGGTGTGTAACGACATGATCGATAATAAACATCTAGCACGATAACATGCAATAGCTCCAGATATAGTCTAAAACTTTTGCCTTCGTGTTGCTGATCTGAATAGACAGCACCATACAGCAAGAACACATTCACTCGAATATCAC